GGGATATGGGACAGGAAGCGAGTAAGCCCGCTAGGGGCTGGCTCGCGTGTGATTTAGTTGAAGATAGAGAAGGTGAAGAACTGGTTAAAAATGTTGCAAAGATTGCTAAAGTGTGTAAAATTGCTGTGCCTTCATGTGGTAGATTACAGCCAGAAAGCTGACGTAGATTACTGACAGAGAAAAAAGGCAAGCTTACAGATAATGATTTATTGCGTACTGCTGAAGCATGGTACAGAGTAGAAAGGCTATCCAGCAGGAGGGTTGGGTAGAGGAAGAGATAAATCATAAAGGGTTAAGAACTGTATGTATATCATAATAATAAATGTTGTGTTTTTTGCTTTGTAATGTAATTGTCCTTCTGTCTTGTTACTGTACAGCGTTGGTTGACATGGTTAAATTCGTGCTGGCAGGCAGTCTCTCTCTTGTTCCACTCAAATCCCCCTCTGCTAAAACACCCCCCCCCTCCCCTCGCTTCTGTGAGACGCGGGGGGGAGGGGGCGGAGGGGGGTGGTGACATGCTTGCGATTTAGGTCTGTCTCTTCGGTGTTCTGTAGAGTTATTCAGAAGCTACTGATTTTTAGCAATGGAATTTTTGCTAGAAAATATTCTAATTGTGTATTTTGTTATCTCAATAGAAATTGATAGGATGGTTAGGGAGTGAATCTGATGCAGGAATAGAAGTTATTAAGTTAGTATATGTTTCTAGAGACAGCTTTGTGGGCTGTTAGATGTATAATATTCACAACTGTCTTATTTAATCCGTCAAGTCTGTCCACAGTTCAGATTTTCATTTTGCTGAACAGAATGTTACTTCCCATGAAACCCACGCCTCCAGAGAGACTTAGTATGCCCTAAAGGAAAATGGCCCCTAAAACAAAAGAAGGTTGTCCTTAAGTGCCTTCACTCTGCCCTTAGTGAGGTCATATCTGCCCATATATCGTGTCAGTTCTGGCCATCCATGGCTGACGAGATCTACTCCTATCATGCTCATCCTATCTTAAGACATGCTGTCTTCCTTAAATTCCCACATATTATGAACAAGAAAGTTACAATTACTAGAATAATCCTGCTAATGTTTCCCTATATCAGAAAAGTGTCTGTGACAAGTGATGGTTAATATGTAGAAAGGATATATATATACCGATTCACGTGTTAAGTAACAATATGTTTTAACTTTGTGTACAAAAAAAATTGATAACATGCTAGAAGAAGGGTTACTAAAAGAAATTTCTAATAAACAAAGATTTCTTGAACAAATGGTAATACAATTAAAGATTGGTCTCAAGATGTTTTGATCTAATTGAAAAAGAACCAGAAAACATTATGAGCCTAACTACTAACAAATGGATAAGGGGGGAGTGTGTTCCAATCTGTCTTTATTGGATAATGTTAACCACCAAGATTAAAGACTGACTAACATATTTTTTTTAATGTAAGCCCAGATATTTTATTATTATATATGCATAGAAGTCGAGACTTTGGGCATTATAGTGTATTGATTCTAGATCTGTTACTAGCAGCAAGTGCTTAGCCTTATGCCTATCCCACGCATGCTTAAACACTCCTTTACTGTGTTAACCTCTATCACTTCAGCTGGAAGGCTATTCCATGCATCCACTACCCTCTCAGTTCCTGATAGTATTTTTATTTAAACCTTTGTCCCTCTATTTTTGAGACTATGTCCTCTTGTTATGGTAGTTTTCCTTCTTTTAAATATAGACTCCACTTTAACTGTGTTGATTCCCTTTGTGTATTTAAATGCTTTTATCATATTTCCCCTGTCTCGTCTTTCCACTAGGCTATACATGATAAGATCCTTTAACCTTTCCTGGTAAGTTTTATCCTACAATCCATGAACCAGTTTAGCAGCCCTTCTTTGAACTTTCTCTAAGGTATCCATGTCCTTCTAAGGATATGGTCTCCAGTACTGTATACAGTACTCCAAGTGAGGTCTCACCAGTGTTCTGTACAATGGCATGAGCACTTCCCTCTTCCTACTGCTAATACCTCTCCCTATGCAACCAAGCATTCTGCTAGCTTTTCCTGCTGCTCTATTACATTGTACATTGTCATTAACAGAGAGAAACTGGAAACCAGAAAGGATAAATTAATGTATAGCTAAATGTAAAGCTTAACAAAACCTCCATTATCTTTTTCATTTATCTCGCAGAAAAACAATGTTATTTGTCTATTTTGTAAGTTTTAATACATTATCAGTGAAGAGTAAAATAAGTTTTATCCCTTTTGCGAGACATAAAATTGCAATAATGTATATTTGTGATGTAAGTAAGAGTTATATTTTATGATAGGTTGAAAAAAAAAAAAAAAGAGAGTCAGGGATAGCGTCTGTCTCTACGAGCAAAAGTCTGGTGTGGGAGATGTAGTGGACTAGCCACTGCGGGATACCCACGGAGTGAAGCGTTCGAGGCCTGTACAGACAGATATGCTTGTTAGCCTTTTATTATTTTTCTCTAGGGAAAGCATAGGGCCAGTTAACAGTTGTTGTACATGTGCTATTTGCAGCCTCCATTGCATTTCTACTTAATTCTGATTTCTGATGTATCCTCCACTGCTACATACCCACGCCTCCAGAGAGACCTGTCTGCTCCCTTACCTGCCCACCCCTGCCTACTCCTACTCCTACTCCTCCTCCTACTCCACCTTCTCCTCCTTCTATTTCTCTCTCCTCCTCCTCCTCCTCCTCCTCTTTCTCCTCCCTCTACTTCACCTTCCACTCCTCCTATTCCTCCCTCCCACTCCACCTTCCCCTCCTCCTACTCCACCTTCTCCTCCTCCTATTCCTCCCTCCTCCTCTTATTCAATCCTACTCCTCCTATTCCTCCTTCTACTCCACCTTCTCCTCCCTCTACTCCACCTTCTCCTCCTCCTACTCCTCCCTCTACTTCACCTTCTACTCCACCTTCTCCTCCCTCTACTCCACCTTCTCCTCCTCCTACTCCTCCCCCTACTCCACCTTCTCCTCCTTCTACTTCTCTCTCCTCCTCCTTCTCCTCCTCTTTCTCCTCTCCTCTACTCCACCTTCTCCTCCTCCTACTCCTCCCTCTACTTCACCTTCCACTCCTCCTATTCCTCCCTCCGACTCCACCTTCCCCTCCTCCTACTCCACCTTCTCCTCCTCCTACTCCTCCCTCCTCCTCTTATTCAATCCTACTCCTCCTATTCCTCCTTCTACTCCACCTTCTCCTCCCTCTACACCACCTTCTCCTCCTCCTACTCCTCCCTCTACTTCACCTTCTACTCCACCTTCTCCTCCCTCTACTCCACCTTCTCCTCCTCCTACTCCTCCTCCTACTCCACCTTCTCCTCCTTCTACTTCTCTCTCCTCCTCCTTCTCCTCCTCTTTCTCCTCTCCTCTACTCCACCTTCTCCTCCTCCTATTCCTCCCTCCCACTCCACCTTCCCCTCCTCCTACTCCACCTTCTCCTCCTCCTACTCCTCCCTCCTCCTCTTATTCAATCCTACTCCTCCCATTCCTCCTTCTACTCCACCTTCTCCTCCCTCTACTCCACCTTCTCCTCCTCCTACTCCTCCCTCTACTTCACCTTCTACTCCTCCTACTCCTCCCTCCTACTCCACCTTCTCCTCCTCCTACTCCTCTCTCTACTCCACCTTGTCCCCTACCTGACAACATTATATTTTGAAAAAAAAAAAAAAAAAGTTGCTCTGGCCCCTCTTCCGCCACTTCCCAGGGGGGAATACCACACAAAAAAAAATAAATTATTATTCATACTGTTTTGGGCACTCTCAAGGAAATAGTGCGGTCCTGACCCAGATTCCCATGGAAGTAAGACACCTGTATCATCACTGGGAGGTGGCTGCCCCTCATGTTTTCTTCACTAAGTCCCCAGAAATCTCATAAAAGGAACCTGACTCAATAAAACATGAAACACTAAAAATCGATATCAGCTCTCTACAGAGGGGGGGGCAGCAAGAGAACTGTAAATGGAAAGACAAATACCCTCAATCTCACACAGAAATAGGTGAGGATATCTCTTCTACTACTCCTCATGGTTGCTTTGAACAGATGAAAGAAGAAATAAGACACCTCTCAACAAGGCATGCAGTAGCTTTGCCAGATCCTGACTCCACTCTGTTTGCGGATGAAGAGGAAAGGTACCATACTGGATTTGCTGTTGCTACAGAAGATCAGGTACGTCAAGCATCTTTACTTTCCTCACCCACATCTGCTCAAGACACCAAATTGACAGCCTTCTCAGTGGCATGCAAATTGTTTGTTTCTGAAAGACAAGGCCATGCAACAGGAGTGCTCACTCAGGCCCATGGTCCTGGAGGCCGCCAAAGGCCTATTGGATTTTTCTCCTGCCAACTGGATATTGTGGCCAGAGGACGTCCCTCTTGCCTTCGGGCCGTCTTTGCTGCCAGAGAGCTCATTGAAAGAACTGGAGATCTTGTCCTTGGCCACCCCCTGGTTGTCTTGGCCCCCCGTGACATTTCTGCCATAGTCAACCAGGTCCAACTTAAGCATGTTACTCCTGCTAGGCATCTTCGCCTTCAATGTCATCTTTTGTTGCCTGACAACATTACCCTCCAAAGATGTCAAGTTCTCAATCCGTCCACTCTTCTGCCACTCCCTGAGGGGGGTGTATACTACGGATTCATCATGGACAAAACATGTTTTTCTTCTCACTGGCACCATCAAGAAGGAAATGCATCCCAACCTATCCTTTCATGATGGACAAGCACTCCTTCATGACGGAGCAGGATATGCCTTCTGTACCATGTGGTACAAATCAAACATCACTCCTGAATCCTGCTATGAAGATGAACTCTATCATCTGGTCGAAGTAAAACTCACTGCACAAGACTTCTACTGTGATTCTGAAGGCAACAGTATGGTCTTGATTCATCTACCTCCGGAACTCAAGCATTTGTACCGTCATTGGGACACTGCCATTCCACATGTCCCTGTGACCAAGTTGAAAACAATATCATGGAATGATCTTGGGCCTATGGCAAAAGCATGGGCCACTATGGACGAATCACAGCTACAGGAAAATGGTGTTGTCAAATATCCAACAACTGACCACCTAAAAGCATGGCCGCGTCATTTCCTGGAGAATGAGTTCCAAGATTTAACCATAGTGAATGACTACGACCCAGATACACCTCATGACTGTTTTGAACAGATGAAAATGGAAACAACACATCTACCAACTGTGCATGAAGACCCATTGGTAGATCCCGATCTCACCCTGTTTGTGGACGGCTCAAGATATGCTGATGAAGAAGGAAGATACCATACAGGATATGCCGTAACCACAACAGATGAAATTGTCAAATCATCATCTTTACCATCAACTATGTCTGCACAAGAAGCTGAATTGCAAGCCCTGACTTCAGCATGCAAGATCTCTGAAGGAAAGCGCGCCAATATCTACACGGATTCAAGATATGCACTGGGCGTGGCTCACGACTTCGGATTAATTTGGAAAACAAGAGGATTTCTTACCACCGCCGGTACACCAATCAAGCACGGTTCCGCAATCAAGGAGCTGATGGACGCCCTCCTACTCCCAGAAGAAGTGGCTATTTTGAAGATAAAAGCACATGGGAAGTTGGACTCAGATGAAGCAAGGGGCAACCATCTAGCTGATCAGGCTGCAAAACAAGCTGCAAAAGAACCACAGGAAGTGGAAAGAAGAGTGTCCGGAAATGAAGAAACTCCCATATTTACTCTGCAGACTCTTCCAACTGACCTAAAAATCCTGCGGGAACAACAGGCTACAGTTGCCCCTGAAGAAATACAGAAGTGGAAACAGAAAGGGGCAGTTCTGAAGGATGGAGTGTACTCCAACAACCTCAAGTTCTGCCTCCCTAAGAATTTGTACCCAGCAGTCGTACAATGGGCACACGGACCTGCACATTTATCAAAGGATCTAATGAATGCTCTTGTACAAAAATACTACCTCATTGTCCCTATATGAGATTCTATTTGGGACTGCACCTAGGCTAGGTTGCTATTTTCCCCAACAACTACAACTTCAAACTGATGTCTTAGTAGATTATGTAACTGAACTCGCAAACGCCTTAAACAAAATCCATGCCCAAGTTTTCTCTTCAATTCCAGATCCTGATTCTGACACAGGCAACCACAGTCTGCTCCCCGATGACTGGGTTCTGGTCAAGAAATTTGTGCGAAAACAGTAAATGTCCGTTCCAAGTTCTCCTGATCTCCCCTACCTCTGTCAAATTGGCCGGAAGGCCTAACTGGATCCACGCTTCCCATTGCAAGAAAGTACTTGCCCCAGAGGAAGCTAGTACCGCACCACCATGTACCTCTGGTACAGTATCTTCTTAATCAGCTTAATTAAAGCTCAACAAGTAGCCATCACTAAAGATGCTAGTGGGTACACCTTCTGGTATAATTCATCATGTACCCGTGTGGCTACTTATACTTTTGACTACTGTGACATCGTAGAATGCCCATTCCCCACGTCACAGATTCAGAATATCTATAGAGATATCCCTCATTCAAAAGACCCCTATGTTTGTGTAGTTGACAAACAATGGGGGCACAACTGTAACCATTGGGGGGCGGCGGGATGGAATGCCGGGCCTGCCTGGGGTTACAAACCAAAAAGTGTCTTATCTAAAATTGATGATCACGGTAGGTCCCTCCTCCAGAGAATGACTCTAAGAAAGCCCGGAGGAGGCATACCTATGAAATTAATCTTAAACATTGAGCATCCCAGCCCAACGGATGCAGACCAGTATGTAATGGGAATGTACTGGAAGAAATTAGGACATTTCCACCTTAAAGATATGTGCCACTCTCCTGAGTGGAAAGGGACAACCCACATGGTCTCAAATCCGTTGAAACCACACATCCAATCTTTTAAAGACATGATGGCCATTGCAAATCCAACATTTGAAGATACCATGGCCGCTGAAACAGGTTTCAATGATGTTAATCTATGGTTAGAATGGATGAAATATAATGCCAACAAACATAACAGAACCGCATGCTATGTGTGTGGTGGTGCCCGGCCGCACCTGGGCACTGTGCCTTTAACTTTGCCAGTAGATATAGAAGAATGTGTTCTGAGTCTTTTTGCCTATCACTACAATTTCAATAGGTCCATATGTAAAGCATGGACAGTAGAGTATCCTCTTCTAGTCAAAGATTGCAAACCCCCAGATGGTGTTACCGTCTATAAAGGTAATTATACCTGTTATGCTAATTATGATGGAATTGGTAAATTTGTGGGTAACTTCTCTAAAGGTTATTGTGCCACCTACAGAACTGTCTCTATGAACCTCCTACAATTCCACACTAGATCATTGGGGGATATTTACTGGTTGTGTGGGGATCTACAGCTGAGATCAAGAATGGATAAAGACTCATGAGTCCAAACACTCACCAACCAAGGTAAAGCGTGAAGCCCCAGTAAAAGGCAGTTTTGACCCTCATATTTACATTGATGCCATTGGGGTACCTAGGGGGGTGCCCAATGAGTTTAAAGCCAGGGATGAAGTTGCTGCAGGATTTGAATCACTTTTTACCATAGTCACTGCAAACAAGAATTTAAATTGGATAAATTACATCTACTACAACCAACAACGGTTTGTTAATTACACCAGGGATGCCCTTCAGGGTTTGGCCGAACAGCTGCAGGCTACGTCCCAAATGTCATTCCAGAATAGAATGGCTTTAGATATGATTCTAGCCGAAAAAGGAGGGGTATGTAAAATTCTGCCTGACACCATGACATGTTGTACTTACATCCCAGAAAACACAGGCCCCAATGGTAAAGTAACCTTAGCTATAGAAAAATTGAAAGAGCTCTCTGAGGAGCTAAAGAGGAACTCTGGGATAAAAGATCCCTGGGAGAGATGGTTTGGTTGGATGACAGGATGGAAAAAAAGCTTTGATGCATATTGGTATAGCAATACTAATTTTCCTTTTTATCTTTGCTCTTCTCGTTTGTTGTGTCCTCCCTTGTCTGAGAAAGCTCCTCTTGAAGACTGTAGACCAAGCGGCACCCACTTACGCACACCTCACAGTTGATGACCAAGATTTCCAAAAAGTCAACTCGCCCTGTATACCGCTACAATCTATCCCGTTTATTGATAAAGTGCAAGAGTTCTAGGAAGGGACCAGCTTAGGGACAGCATCTGTCTGTCTGGGAAGTCTACCGTGCGGAGATGTGGTGGGTTAGCCACCTCGGGATACCCATGGAGTGAAGTGTTCGAGTGCCCAGCGGACAGATGAGTTAGCCAATTAGGGACAGACGAAGGGACAGCTTTGCACTTTGCAATAACACCTAGCTAGCGGGTCACGGGGTTTCTGTGCCTTTGGGCTAACACGTCTTCTGATACTAACAAATAAAGATTATCTTTTAGAATCTAACATTTCATAGGGGGGACTGATGTAGAATTATTAAAATCTTTATTAGAACCTGTATTGAATTATTGTACTAACTCCATTTTGTTCACCTTACATGACAGAATTTCCTGACAGTATTCAGTATAATGAATAAGAGATTCTATTTTCTCTCTCTAAGGACATAACTAGCCCCGGAGTTAGCGGATCTCCGTTGACTTGCAACATAGTATAATCCAAGGCCAGGAGAACAGCGACAAAATGAAATGTTCTATTCATAAAAGAACCTTGGAACAGACCACGAGACTGACATCACTAACTACGTAAAATGACGCCCAAGCCCCCCTTTCCACCGAGTAAGCCTCGTGCTAAAGAGCAATGGCGACGACATCCCATGATGGGAGGGTGCCTCACTAGTCACTCAAATCTCTGAGCCAATTAATAATATTAATGGGTGGACACTGACATAGCCACTTAACATTTAACCCAATTAATGATGTTTATTTGTTATTATCTGATATTCAATGATGATGTCATTTTGCATATAAAAAGGCCTGCGTGCCCGCTTTTTAACTAGATGCTAATAAATTTCCTGAAGTGTTTTTAACCTGAACTGCATGTGTCAGTGTGAACTTACTTCTGCGTATACGCAATTTATTCATCTCAGATTTGGACAGGAACAGATAGACTTTTAAACATTTTTGTTTATTTCTAAATTAATCTACATCAATCTATGTCTTTTTGCTGATGATACTAAGATATGTAACAGGGTTGATGTTCCAGGAGGGATGAGCCAAATGGCAAATGATTTAAGTAAACTAGAAAAATGGTCAGAGTTGTGGCAACTGCCATTTAAAGGGACACTATAGTCACCGGAACAACTTCAGCTTAATGAGGTTGTTCAGGTGAGAACTATAGCTCCCTGCAGCCTTTCTCATGTAAACACTGTATTTTCTGAGAAAATACAGTGTTTACATTGAAAGCTAGGAACACCTCCAGTTGCAGTCACTCAGAGTGAACCAGAGGGACTTCGGAGTTGATGGAGGCATAATATGCCTCCATCCACTCAGATCTGCTGAAGTACTGTGCACAGCATCCTGTGATTCAGTATCTCCTCCCTTTGCATGCAGACACTGAACTTTCCTCATAGAGATTCATTGATTCAATTCATCTCTATTAGGAGATGCTAATTGGCCAGGGCTGTGTTTGAATCATGCTGGCTCTGCCCCTGATCTGCCTCTTTGTCAGTCTCAGCCAATCCTATGGGGAAGCATTGTGATTGGATCAGGCTACCACATGTCAGCAGACTGCTTGTTTTTCTGAGTCTAACAGCATGCAGATTTAAAGCTTCTGGCTTGAATACAGTAAGATTTTTACTATATTTATGGAGGCATGAGGGGCCCAAGGGGGCTAGATGGTGGTGTTAACACTATAGGGTCAGGAATACATGTTTGTGGTCCTGACCCTATAGTGATCC